CTGATTGTTGTTTCTTGATCATTTATTATACTCTAGAAGCTTGAAAATATAAATAGTTGTCGAATAAAGCTCAATATTTTGGACACAAAAATGTAAACAAAGGCTATGTTTACATACGGACTGTAGATCACCTTTAATTTTCTTAATTTCTAAATGTGACTTATGGACTTACTTATGACTACATAATTTTTTCATGTGTAATATTAACAAGTAACAGTATATGTTTCTCGTGCAATTTGAAAAAAACATACACTCGTGAGTTCTATACAAAGACTTTTTGATAGGCAATTTTGATAGTCCTTGAAAAACTCACTCGTCCATGTTTTTTCCAAATTGCACTCGAAACCATACTATCATCTATACTAATAACTGAGATTAAGGTGGCTCAATATATTACTCTATGAATCCACACAAAATCCCTTTTACAAGAATCGCGAAAGCAAAACGCTATGCTATATATGAGCAAATTAAACCCGCGCGGTCATTTGTGTTCGCGGGGATATTAACGAAAGAATTGTGTTACATGACCCGACTTGCTCACGCCATCTTGCGCCATTGTACGTGTTTCATAACACGTTGCATATCAATTGCTCACGTCGCAACAAATGCCAATTTTTCATCAAAGGCCGTTGAGGCCGAGTCACGGATGAGATCAAATGAAAGTGACAGAAGCTAAGGAATTAGAGTAGTGAGTTTGCAATTGTTTTGCCAAAGGGCACCGTGCGAACTTTGCCACTTGTCGTGCTTCTTTTATCAAATCAAAATAACTAACGCGTGCTCCAGCCCAATTTCCGGTTCTAAAAGGCCCGATTATAGTTATACGTTATCGCTTTTATTTGCACTAGTGCTGAACCCGACGGTCTCGACCAACGTGTAAAACCTTATTTTTAGACGTAAATTTCATAAAATGATTTCTTTAGTATACTATACTCAATTATCTTGACAATTTTTAAAAATTTTAAAAATTCTGTGGAGCCAAAAAAATGATATGAATAATCATATGTTAGATGCTTCTTTTTCAACAAATAATAATACTTGTCCAAAAATACGAAAAACTGGATCAAGCCTTTTTAAGACTTGTTCTTTCAAATGTTTTCGTTGGTATCTTTGCAGCATATCTAAATTTCAACAAACAAACTATAACGATTCTAAAACGCTTTCAATTGAACTTACCTGGTGTTTGTGACGACGAGATTCTCTTTGCAGAATTTCTGTGCTCGTGCGTAAGGTCGATGTCGTTTGAATCTTATTGTTCAACCTGTAAGAATCTCCTAACCCAAGATATGCGTTTGTTTCCTCTTGTTTGTATCCTCGTTCTGTTGCAATTTCCAAGGCTTTTTCGTAGTGCTGAATTGCCATTTGTATCTGATTATTGAATCTATAAGCATATCCTAACTCAAGATATGCGTTTGCTTCCCTTTGTTTATACCCTCGGTTTTTTGCAATTTCTAAGGCTTTTTTATAATGTTGAATTGCCGTTTGAATCTGATTGTTTAATCTATAAGCATCTCCTGAATCAAAATATGCGTCTGGTTCATCTAGTTGATATCCTCGATTTCTTTCAATTTCGAATACGTTTTCATAATACTGAATTGCCATTTTTGTATTATATTGTTCGGCGCTATGGCCATGTCGCTTGTTCTGCATGTTGTTGCTTGTGCAGTCTAGTCAAATACTGTTTGCCTTTGATAGCTGAAAGTAAAAATAAGTTGAAACCGCGTCCTCCTCATTCAAAAACTATTGGGATAAATCATTATTAGTTGTCGAACGCTTTTTTATATTTATTGTAATTGATTATTAAACAAAGCGTGGTTGTCCAAAATAGCTAACTAAAGCCAAATGCCATGATACAGGTGCTCGAATCTAACCGGTTATTTTGGTAATTTCACTTTTGTTTTACACCCCCGATAAATTAATCTCACATCTCAAACTCATTAATAATTCATGAGTAAATTAGCCAACCATTATATTGCCTTATTTTGGATACCTGATGAATTATATTGGATACCTGATGAAGGATACCTGATGAAGTATATTGATCGTGCGTCAAAATTAATTCAGTCCTTGGACTGGATCTAGATGAATGAAGTAGGGATTTATTCGTATGAGATGTCATTTCAAATCCTCCAATTCGGATTGGACTAGATTTCAAGTCCTCGCGTTTTGATCTAGTCCTCGGCTTTGCCTCGGATGTGATCAAATTGTGCGGATTTGAAATCTAGTCCAGCTCATAGTTGGATTTAAAGTATTACCTAAAATCGGAGAGAAGCATGCAAAAGCTGTGGAAATTTCCATATTTTACGTCATCATCAAATAGAACTATAATAATACGATTAAAAACTCTGGTACGTGAATAATTTTCAGTCATTCGTTATCAAGGGTTTAAGTATTTCCGGAGATTCTCAAAAGCGGCTTTCAAAAAATAGAAGTATCCAAAGATTTATCTTTTTTCCGAAGTAGCAACATGTGACATTCCAATAACATTACATGCATGAAATCTTTCAAGCCACGCCCATTATATTCTACATCCTCGACTTACGATCAGCTTTACATCATCACTGTTTTGGAACGATTCAAACTAAACAATAACATTGATCAATGTTTAACACTTTGTCAGTTCTCTCAAATATTCTTTACAGTCCTTCAAAACGTAGAGTTTACCGATGTATGATAAGTAGGCAGTTACCGTGCAGTCATCTTGATAGATATATGAACTATCACAAAATATCACAAAGCGACATAAGCCAAGAAAATACCAGCTATTTATATTCTGGTACAGAACTATCAGAGCACTAATAAGCTGACTACATTCAGTAAGAAATAACAAGCGTTTGTTAGTAGGAGTGCAACTACCTAAAAAATATAAGGAGAATTTCGACGTTTTGCGCGAAGAACCTTAATCTGGAGTCACTAGCCCAGTTTCTGGCACAGACTGATAGTACTACCGGGTGGCCCAAAAAAAAGTACTCCTGTTTGATTCGTAATAACATCTAAACAAGTATAGCTTTTAAAGAGAAATAACTTGCATCAAATAGAGGAAGGACTAACTTAAACTTTGATATATTACAGTTGTATTTCACTTAAAAATTCACG